AGAAAAATAAAGAAAATGTCTAGTAAATAGTATTTAATAAATGCCATTTTCCCCATCTTTTCTTTTTTTTGATATGGAATTTTGCTCTTATTGCCCAAGCTGGAGAGCAATGGCGTGATCTTGACTCACAACAACCCCTGCCTCCCAGGTTCAAGGATTTCTTCTGCCCCAGCCTCCCGAGTAGTTGGGATTACAGGTGCATACCACCATGCCTGGCTAAGTTTTTGTAATTTTAGTAGAAACAGAGTTTTACCATGTTAGCCAAGCTGGTCTTGAACTCCCGACCTCAGGTGATCCACCTGCCTTGGCCTACCAAAGTGCTGGGCTTACAGGGGTGAGCCACCATGCCTGGACAAATATCAGTTGCATTTCCATGTGTGAGCATAGAACAGAGAAGATAGATTAGGTGGAATTTGATCAGTGACACATATTAAACATTTTTATCAAATAAATATTATCAGTCATCTTATTAGCTGTTTTTCCTTATAAAAGTAGATTGTGCCACAAATACCTTATTTTGTTAATTCTTTTGATTCTGATCATAGATACATGGTGATTTACTCTATTCAAAGAAAGACAGAAAAGTAGGCTTGTATTTTAGGTTTCTTGTGGCATACACTGGTGTACAATCTGCTAGAACTGAAGGAGGATGTTATTAATCAAAAGGTGCGCAAGGAGGCAAAGGACTTCATTATGCTGTGTTGCTTCCACAACTTGCACCTGGAGCTTCTTAATGAATGTGCCCTTTGGAGACAGGTGGCACTCTGGAAAGTGTAAACCTCTCTAAACCTCTTCGTGTCTCAAATTGACACGTCTTCATGACACTATGATTAATCAATCTAAGTCTTAAATGATGTGAATAACTTTGGTTGGACTATAATTAGCTGAAACATTTTTTTTTTCCTGGTCATTAGTAGCACTCATTGCTAGAAGTAGGAAAATAAAGAAAGTCAGGAAATGGCTGAAAAAAAAGTCACGTATTCCTTGAAAAATACAAGTTTATAGATGATTTTGTGTACTGGGTGAACAAATCCAGTAGATGGCAGTTTAGTAACATACAATATCCTTCTATCATGGGGAATTCATGTTTAGCAGCATATTTTCTTAGGACATATAGGAAAATATATATTTTAAATGTTATCTATTTATTGCCATATTTTGTGGAAAAGCTAGCATCTACCACCTCTGTGGGTAATCCCTGCTGGCTTAGAGCAGCAAAGTTGTTATAAACTTGTCAATTAACAAACAATATAAGGAACGTTGGAATTTTCCAGGATTTTTCCATTATATTTTATTATCATCGCATTCATTTGAAGCACATATAGATATTTTTGATATTTGAAGAGATAAATGACTTGGGAATGTTTCTCGAGAAAAATAACACTATAACCAACAATTGATTTCTCTGAAAAACTGGCTGTAATTTTAGCATTTCATGCATTTTTTTTTAGTTGTTAAGATATTTAATAAGCTAAGAGAGGCTTGGAAAGGGAGCAGAGTATACATAGATTATCAGATTAAGAAGGTAATATTTTTGAGAATTTTTGAATGTTAAAGGAGAAAGAAAAAAGAGCCCAACCTTCCCTGAGATATAAACTCAAAGGTTGTGTCACTTCTTACATGGGAATTCAACAAAACATCCAGGCATTAGGAAAATTCTGATTCCAGAACAGAAAGCTAGCAGTACATTCTAAGATAGAATTAGACCATTACACACATTGTGTTGGTTTAATTGAGCATACATTATATATTGTTCAGTAAGAAATTTCTGCCATGGTGCCCTATCTTCTTGGGCACCAGGGCCTGACAGCTTTGTCACACAAGTCAGCAGTTGAAAGTGATACAATTTTGACACAAAATGTGCTTATACTTTGAAAGCCATTAAACAAGCGTTGTTTGCTTATAATTTTCTAGTAAAATAAAAGGCTTTCTGTGGAAAGCAGTTTTAAAAACACATCATAACATTTTAAGTGTGTAGGTCTTGCAACGTTTGTTCCAATTTTCTAGTGATAGACACAGAGTAATAAGATTTCCCTAACAGATGCTTAGTGCTGGGTACTCACATGTCACTCAAGCTGACAAGGTTTCAGAAAAAAACAAAACAAGACACTTTTTTCACCATGTTACCATTTTAAAAGATCTATGATTGCATATAATTCAATTTTATTTAATTGAAAAGTATAAAATTCATAAAATACGGTTTATTAATAGAATAAATTGTAAATATACCTTAAACAACCCACTAGATCCTATCTACAAATTTAAGTCTATCTCAGACAAGACTTTAATCCTATATGCCTGGAGAAGAGCTTTAGCTCAGTTCACAATAAGATTATAGAATTTTAAAATTGGGAAAAATACTTATAGATAATCTACTTCTTTCAATGCCCAGTTTTCATAATTTACTTTTTATATGTACCTGAAAAATCTGAACTTAATATGTTAATATATAGCAGGCACCATTGAAGTTACATAGTTTATTCATTCTTTCAACCAACATTTATCCAGCATCTTACATATGCTAACTAGTGTTTTCCAGGAACGATGCTATGGACTTTTAATGCAAAAATAAATATTTTCCTATTCTTGCTTCTGAGAAGGAGCTCAGAGTCTATCTGGGAAGATAGACAAGTATATTAATGACTATACTATAGTGCGATAAAGTCTAGACATATTTGTATACATCCCTGTGGGAAAACGGATGAAGGAGCAATCTATGTCACTTGGGACTTTTGGGAAGACAAGAGAAAGGAAATCACATTTGAGCTGGGTCTTGGAGTTTGAGCAGGAATTCTCAGTGGGAAAAGTAGGGGCTGAGGATTTAGGAAAGGAAATAGACATGAAGGCAGAAGAGTATGTTCAGAGAATGACTGGGAAATATAGGGAATGGTGGGAAATTATGTAGAATGGCCCTGGAAAGGTAGTTCGGAGAAAGACCGTAAATATCAGATGTTAAAGAGTTTGGTGTGACTTTTGTAGGAAATAGGGAGCTACTGAAAAAAAATTTGAAAATGAAGAAAAAGGTTATGATCAGGTTTATATTTTTTAAAACATTATGTCTGGCAATGGTGTAAAAGATGGGTTAGACGAGGTCAGGAATAGGCTGGTTGAAATACGTTCAGGCCTGCGCTAGCGCAGTGGAAGTGATGATGGACAAATGCATATATTAAAATACACTTTAGAAATGGAGAATTTTTGAATGTTAGAAGGAATTTGGCAGTCAGTTGCTTGGAAGAGGTGGGTACTAAGGGAAAGGGAGAAGTTAAGAATGGCTTCAAGAGATCTAGTTGGTATGATTAGTTTTGAGGGTTTGGATAAGCATTTATTACTCTTCACAGGCTTTTGAAGATGGGTGAGAAAAATGAATCTCTGAAAAGTAATTTGCCAAGGTTGTTTCTGTGGACTGAATTTTGTGCCCCCAAAATTCACATGTTGAAACCCTAACTCTCAATGTAATGACATTTTGAGGTGGAACCTTTGGGAGGTAAATAAGTTTAGATAAGGTCATAAAGGTGCTCATGATGACATTAGTACCCTTATAAGAAGAGACCAGAGAAGTAGCTCTGTGTAAGAACACAGCAAAAAGGCAGCTGTCTGCAAGCCACAGAGAAGGCCCTCACCAGAAACTGAGCATGGTGGAACTCTGATCTTGGTCTTCTTAGCCTCCAGAACTGAGAGACATCAAGGTCTGTTTTAAGTGACCCAGGTTCTGGTACTTTGTTACAACAGCCTGAGCAGACTAGAATTACTATACAGTTAGTAATTTATGAAGGCCAGATGTGAGCATATTCTCTTGGATTAATTCCAGAATCCAAGCTTTTAACCACTGTGCTGACTCTTTCTTTCTATACTCATGGAGTGGCCAGGGATGCCATTTACTGGACTATGAAATACAGGATGAAAAAACATATTTTGAATAGCAAGTAATCAGTTTGTCCCTTAATATCTTGAATTTGACATAAGTGGTAGACCAAACACTGGAGATATTCAGAAAAGAATTATAAATAATAGTGCTGAGGGCTCATAAAAGAAATGGAGTCAGAGAGTTCAGCTGTAGGAGACACCAGTGAATAAGTAATGGTCGAAGCCATGGGAGGTGACTCACATGGCCCAAAGAACAAATGTTAAGTGAAAATGGCAGAGGACTGTGTAGAAAGCTTTCAGTGACAGTGGAACACGAGGGGTCAACAGAGGAGACTGAAAAGGTGTACTCAGTTGAGTTAGAGGAAAACTTCTTTTAATGAAGGTACAACTTCCACAAAAGTCTGTTAAATGGAGACTTACTTCTCCCTTGAGCATACATTGGGCAGAACGTTAAACCAGCATATTCTTAATGGTTTACTATTACTTTAAGAGCCTTTTTCTTCACTGGAAAGCTGTCACTCACAGCCTCTTTTTCTGAAGTTCACAGTCTCTTCCCACTGGATCACCATATTCCATTCCACACAAATTCTGTAATTGTACTAGGTCATAAATCCACATGCTTGATGATTCTACCTCCCCACCTGAATTCCTAGACTACCCTTAAGCCAACTTCACTTCCAATCAGGGAACTGCTCCTTTTATGGAATACTTAACCATGAAATTCTAATGACCAGACCTCATAGCTCTCTCTTTCTCCCTTTCACTAACTCAATCCATATTTAATGTAGTTCAAGTCAATTACTAAATACACGTCATATGTTATGTGCTAGGGCTTAGAACACAGACACTCACAACACATCCATATACACACACATGTACTGTAAACATACCCTAGCACTGAAACATTGTTTCATCTCACAGAATAGGAAGGGAGCAGATGTTTAAAAACAATTTTGCAATACTAGTGTGATAGGTAAAATAATACAGATATATTATAGGTACGGTAGTGTGATACAGTAGAAAGTTTGAACAGTTGCATATAGGTTGAAAATGAGAGAGATACTATTTATTTATAAATGAATAACTAAACCCCAAAACATAGTGGCTTAAAAGGGAAATGATTTCTTATTTTTCAGAATTCTATGGGTTGATTGGGCTCCTCCTCCATTCAACTGGTGGCTGGGATGAGCAGGAATGGCAAAGAAGACATCACTCATATGTCGGAGGTACTGGTGCTATATGCCATCTCTCTGTCTATGATTTTCTCTCTCCATGGTGTCTCATACTTCAGGCCGGATAACCTGAACTTCTTTGCAGCATGGCAGTTGGGTTAGGTTGGAACTGGAATAGTGTCAGTTCTGCATCATTGTGTTGGTCTGCCGAGAATCAAGAGTTTTTTTGGTGAAAGTAATGGCAAGAGTGTATAAGGGTGGAAGGAAATTTTGGCAACCACTTTTTCGAGACTAATTACTACAGGTAATTTCAATAAGAAAGAGATTCTTGAGTGGATTTTGAAGACTGAGAAGTTTATTAGTGAATAGAGGAGATGAAGTTTAGGAGAAGAGGAGCTCTTTGAAAGAACAGCAGTAACATGAAGACAGAAAGCATCATATTTGGCCTGCCTGCCAGGACAAACAGAATGCCTGGAGGCATTAGGGAGAAGGAATTAGAAATGAGCGTGAGAGGCAGGCAAGATTATTAAAAGTCTTGTATGTTTTAAGAAGTAAACTGTACTTTATCATCTAGGCTGCAGAATACCCTGAGAGATTTTATTCAGGGGAGTAACTGCTCTTCACTCTCATTGATTCTTCTGTAATTTGTCAGTTCCATATGTTCTTGATCAATACGCCTTCTTTGGCTTCATTTCCTTATTCACTCCAGCTGACAACCCACAGTCATTCAGTTAAACCTCTCTCTCACTGACACTCTTAATTCCCAACACTCTCATGACCTTCTTCTCATTGCATTATTCCTAATCCTCAGTTCTAGAATAACCCAACCATCTGTTTGTTCTGATACTGAAACCAGGAACTGAATAATCCTGGAGCAAATTACATAACCATGTTGATTGTCTGCCTTATACATTTATGATTTCTGACCTCTGCTAGACTCTCAATTTTTTCTAGGAAATCTTTACAGATGTTTACCTATTTCCCATGACATTTTCTTTTTAATTTTTTTTGCCACTTTTTCAACTTTGTACTTAATGCTTCACTCTATTTTTAGCAGATCACTTTCCCTACTTCACAGAGGAAATAGTTGTTACAGTCATGAAAAATTTTCCTTTATAACTTCTTCCTAAAGTTCATCTATTCTTTTCATTCTGGATGATCCTCTTTCTTTCTTTCCAAATTCCTGTGATAAGTTTAGGACTTATTATACTTCTCCCACAACTTTAAATTGATTTACATTTCTTATCCATCCTTATTTTCTTTCCTCCTTCACCATAGTCATTCTTCCTTGTTTTCACTTTCCCTTTGACCTCAAACCTTCTACCGCTTGCAAGTTCTTGCTCTAATAATGATGCCCTTTTCCCCAATCTCTTTCTACAACTTCCTCCTCAGCCTTGCTTCTACCACAATCAATATTTTCTCATTGTACTCCCTGCTTATTGTTTGTTTTATATTTATTCCTTAGTAACCTGAAACTTGGCTTGTTACAACTGAATACCAGGCAAAGTTTTGACACATAGTATGGTGTAATAAATATGTATTAATGATCAATTTCTAATTTCCAATATTATAACCTATTTTAAGTTCTCATGTTACAATGGGAAGATGGGGAAAAGGTCCCGTCTGTCTTTGGATCAGTGGGAGCTTGCTAAACCATGCTTGCAAGTGGACATAATGGCTGAGATTCTGTACTCTGCAGTTTTTTTCCCAAATCAGTCTATTCCGTTTGCATTTTGGTTTGTTGGAATGTGTGCTATAGAAGTTGGTAAATATACTGAATATTACCATTATCTCTCTCTCTCTTTCCATGCATATATGTATGTGTGTGTACACTCTGGAAATTGTATCACTATATAAAAATATTATTTCTGCTTGAAGTGTGGTGCCCATTTAACACATGATAATCACAGATTTTTATAGCAAAACACCTTTTCATATGCTAGACAGATTTGTAAAGGCAGAAATTATGGTTTCCTGGCATATAGATAGTAACAAATAAGTTTTTGTGGAAAGAATGGTTGAATGTTCTTTATGTGTAACAAAGGAAAAAATTTCTAAATGAGCATAGAATGTATTTATGAAATTTTAAATAAAATGTAATATCTATTGTTAGGGCTTAGAATGTTCAGACATTGTAACTGACTATTGTACTACTGTTATTGAAAGAAAAAAACACTAATCAATATAGCAATTCACAGGGATTTTTTCTCTTGTAAATTTCATTTGTTAAGAGCATTGTTTTAGATGCAATCTTTTCATAGAAACATGTATAAACTCGTGAGGAGATTGAACATAAAGCACTGCTATAAAACTAGGTACTTATTGGCCTTCAATGTATCCAGCTTTTATCTTACAGACTGTGAGCTCATTTAATAGCATCAAGTGAAGGAAACTGGTATAGCATCCCCTCTGCTGCATACCTTTGGGACTTTCCTGTATAATGTTGATGTTCAGTCTCAGCCAAACTGACAATTAAATGATCCATTTATCCAACACAAGCAGGCAGAGGAGGAGATACTGCATCTTTTCACACTGCCTCCCACTCCCAGAGCCAGTCCAATGCTTCCTTTGGGTTGAGCACACACAAACAGAAAGCCCTTCATCAACAATTTTTCATGTTTTCTGTTAAATTGGGTTTACTCTTCTTACTTGAATTTTCCCCTAGATACTTTTCCCAAATAGCACAGAAAGTATTTGATGTGAACTAAAACTTTTTAATAATAAACTTTGTGGTTATAAAACCTGAGGAAGACAAGACTACTGAGGCAGTTAGAAGAAATTGCTGAAACCAAGAAAAAAAAAGATATATGTTAGCCTAAATCTTAAAATGAAACTTTTCAAAGAAGCAATATTGTCTAATTGGGACCTTTTATATATTCTTTGGGAGTCTACTTCATAGAGTAATTATTTTAGCCACCAACACATTTTTTACCATTGTGTACAGTTTTTATTATTCTTAACTCCCCTACTTTCTGACACTTCCGTTTTCAAAAATAACACATAAAGCAATTGTCTTTTGCATTAGATATCTCACTTTTAATTTAAATAGCCCATGTAAACCCTATTAAAGTTGCTTACTTAGGTACTTTTAATTGATACTGAGAATAATGCTTTCTTTTTGGGTTTTGTTGTCAAGGTGAAATTCTAGTATTATCAGGCAAATTTGAGAGCAATCGTAATTGAATTAAAAATTCTAATTCTATTTTATTATTATATATTATAGATTAATTATTTGAGGAAAACCAAAGTGCAGATTGTCCTAAGATATTCTATCAACTTTTTAAGATACCTAACTCTATCATTCTTCTGTTTTAAAACCTTTATTTCTTAGAATTGTATTATTAAAATGAACATATGTTGTTGACAGGCTGTTAACATATATATCAAAGACAATAAGTCAAATTTTAACTAAAAAAAAAAAATGGGACCAGAGTAGAAAGGTTTTGAGAGAAAACAGTGGCAGAAAGACTCAGAAAAGCATGCAATATTCAATGAAAAACTCTTCTTTGCTCTAGGTGGTATGAGGACTCGGCCTTTTGTCAGTTAACAGTCTTTCAGTACAATATTCAGAAAATCCAGCTGAAAATATCTAAAACCAAAAGAGAATTTATTGGCTCTCATAAATGATACTCATAGCCTGATGCCAGTTATCAAGTTATTGCCTCTTCGCTCCAAATTCACCCTTCAATATATATTCTATGATAACAGACAATTCCTTTTAGTATTTCTCCTTTAAAGTGAGGCCTATGTTAATCTTTCTCAGCAGAGGATGCTGGAGGGACATTTCAGGAAAAAGGTATCGGGCTGCCTGCCATCCCTTAAGCCAGTAGTGTCAGTATAAGGACATCTGGTGGAGCTTTGCCTCAGTCATGTGCCAAGAACATAGGCCTTTGACAACCTTGCAGAGTAGATCCTGCAATAACCTTCTTGCTTTGCTCTTGACATGGAATTTGCATACACATATCCTATTGGCTCCGTTTCTTTAGATAACTCTAATACAGCGATCACAGGTGTCACTATTGACCTCTGAAAATAAAGGAGGAAGAGGATAAAGAGAGTGTGGAGGTGGGAGTGGACAAATGCATGATCCTTGGAGGAAAGGTAGAGAAGAAACAACTTCTTATTTCACAATGTTGTCTTGGACAGGTAGTGTATTTACTAATTCTGGCCTTTCAGTCTGTTTCTCTCTCACTTTTGGGGTGTAGTAAGATACAAGATATTATATAACTTTCCACCATTCATCTACTGATTTGTTGGCCAGAACCAAGAGGACACTGGAGGACTTACCAACCCTTACTTTTGGACTGGGATGAAACTTGATCCAAGGGCCCCCCGGAGGTGTATAGTGATTATAGATGTTTTATAAAAAATTGGCTCAGTGGCTTATTTGCTTGTTCATTTATTCACACACTCATCCAGTTAGCCACTTAGCACCATGTACTGCTAATATATGAAGTAAGGAAAGGAATTTCAAGATATGTAATATACAGTTCCCGGCCCTCCAATAATTTGTACACCTGTTAGGTAATAAAACAAATAAACTTATTTTAAATTCAGGGGTAATTAAAATCAAGTTGATGAGAGAAGTTCAAATGATCATTGCAACTCAGAGGATGAATAATGAACACTTGCTGAAATGAAGGAAGGCTACATAAGAGAGGTATAGTTGAGTTTTGAAAAATGGTTAGGATTTTGATATGAAGAGACATAGATGATGACTTTTAGTGAGAAAGAGCATAAGCAAAATAACAGGGTTAAAAAATAATATAACCTTGTTTGAGATGCGCAAATAAAGTAACATAGTTGGAATAAAATATTTAGTGAGGCAACCTGAGGGTGAGGTTGGAGTAACACATTGGGAAATAATCATGGTCAATCTTAAAGTACAAACTAAAAACTTACATATTTTTTAAATATGTAGAAAGGTGCACAAAACAGAAGTGCACATTTCAGTAGATTATTACAAAGTTAATGCACCTTTGAAACCACTACCCGGATCACAAAATGAAACATTTCCAATATATCAAAAAGTCCATTCAGCCCCTTTCAAAGAGTATACCTGTCTTTCTCCCTCAAGGAAACTCCACTGACATCTAACACCATGGACCAGGGGTGACTATTTTTTTATTCTATGTATCTGTCATTACATAAAAGACATTGTGTCTAACTTCTTTCACCTAACAATGTTGATGAGATTTATGCATGCTGTTGAATGTATCTGTAGTTCAATTATTTTCATTGTTTGATGATATTCTAGTATATAAATATACCACAATTTATCTATCCAAGTGATTGTTATTTTGTAGAATTTAAAGATTATAATAAGGATGATCAAATATACTTGAGCTTAAGTAACTGCCAAGAACAGTAGAGTCTTAACCAACTAAAGAAGACTGAGAAGAAAATTCTGGTTTGGAGGATATTGTTTTTAGCTCTAAAATTATATTGCTTACTTTATTAAACTATTTTACCGATCCTTTAGTTTGAATTTGTAACAATTTTTTTCTTCGACTCTCATTTTTCATCATTGCTGTAGTTCATTCTCGGAAGACATTGCATCTGTCAGGGAAGAAAGAACCAGGACTGTGGAGGGATAGTTAAATTGCCTCCCTCTCAGTGAACTGGGTTTCCAGAGAAGTACAGAAGCTGTTCTATTATTCAAACCTGACAGCTTTGGTGTAAGAAGTGATAGTAGCTAGGAAAATGACAGGTCTGGGACTTCTGGGAAGCCTAAGTCCACATACCTTTTAAAGTGGTAGCTATTCTGTGTGCTCCACTCTATCACTAATTCTTTCCTTATTTCTAGACATATTTTTTCTATCACTGACATAAGCAATGGCTTTTTTCCATTTTTTCAGCTTGTTATTTATTTAACTGGATATTAACAGGAATCTAGCAGACATGTAGATACTCCAGGACCAGCACGCCACTACATTCACTTATATTGGTGTTGCGATGGTAACTCCAGTTGATTCATTTTTGAGACAGTTTGCCTGGAAACCAGTTCAGACATTGCTAGGGTTGACTGTATGAATTCCTATGGAATGGATCTCTTGGGCTTTATGTGCATTTTAGCGCAACCTTTTTAATAGAAGCTTTTATTTAATATCTTTGGTAATTTATTTACTGCTGTATCCAGAAGCATAGGAAAGACTATTTATTAAACTTGTTTATATTGTTTCTTCCAATGGGATTTCTTTGACAAATGTTTTGCCTTAAACTTGTGCTTTCCAGGACTATCACTTTGCCTTGATAGCTTATGGTATAGCACTAACAAGAAACAGAAGAGATAGTATCTTATATTTCTAGGCCACTTTAGAATTTACAAAGCATTTCTATATCTATTATTTCCCATTACTGTCTCTACCACCCTGTGAGAGAAGTGTTTTTGCTTTCATTTTAAAGATCATGAAATGTAGGCTCAAAGACATATGTAGTATCATAGCCACTGGTTTGTGTAAGATCAAATCAGATCTCCTAATGCTAGGTTCAGTGCTATTAGCCAGTGCGTCCATCCTGCTTATCTGTATCTGGTGTAGATTTTCCTGTTATCCCTCAAATGTTAATTAGGAGCTATATTCTTGCCAGGTAAGAATTATGTCTGTTGAGTTCACATACCTTAGCATTGGACAACAACTGGAATTCTCGAAATTATCAGGTTACTACCCAGAACTAGTCAATTTTTTGGAGTTAATTTTATGGCATATACTTTTTATCTTTTCATGTGCTTTAATAATGCTTGAACCAATATCACCTTCTGTGTGAACAGAGTTCAGGTGAATAGCCACTGAGCTTCTATTACAGGCCTATTTTAGAATTGACTTCTTTGTGGCACCAATAAAAGCTTCAACGACAGCATGATTATGTTGTCAAAAAGTTGCTTTTCATCATTTTTTCCTTGAGAGAAGTAAAGTTATTTTCCTGGATATGTTACATAGATCATCAGTATGTATGAATTTTTGAAGAGATTGGTCATTGGTAAATATGCTAAAGAAAATAATCCAAAACAAACCATAGAGATAAAAGGCAATTCTTACATTAGTGTAACATTAAATGTCACTCAGTACACAGATTAAAGACTAAAATGCAGGTAAGTACAAGTATAATGTGTGTTGATTTATGAGCAGCATGCTGTTTAATAATCCATTGGCGTCTACTGACTAAGATTAGTGTAATGGCAAACACAGCTCTCTTTTAAGTGCTGTTCTGGGCTCTTCTGGTGAAAAGATATTTTTAGGCAACACTATGAACTTCAGAGAACTATGAAAGGTAATGAGGTATTCCTCACAGAGCAGTGTACCATGTCCATTCTATCATTGAAAGAATAATGACATGAATCAGAAAAGTCACATACAAATTTAAATTCCTGAAAAATGATGTGGCTATGAAGTTATTTAACTATTTGGATGTTCTGTCAAAGTTTACTTCCTGGCTAAATAGTGGGCCTCTCCATATTCAACCATGTGACATATTTATTTAAATATGTCACATATTTAATTAAACTTTTCTGCTTAAATGGGGGTTGGAGAATGATCTGGCCAACATGAACCATGTTGGAGAAGGGATTATTAATTAGGTTCCAGGATGGTGAAGAGAATGCAATTCTTACCCAGGACCATGGAAATGCAGTGAGCCCAAGGGATTGACAAATCTGCCAGAGGAAAGAAGACATTTGTCAGAGGAAAGAAAGAACATTAGATTTTCTGGGCCAAAATTAGGCCAAACAACTTTTAGCCAAGAAAGAAGATATGAAAAGAGAAAATGTCTTTTGGGAGTGAACAGGTGGTTCTTTGACAATGTCCTAATTTGACAATGATGGGGATAAGATAACTAAGGTTTTTTCTTTATGGAACAGTGGGCATATGATGGGTGGAAGGAGTTAGGTTGGCTAAAAGGGCCTAGAACTGAGCAGATGATGACTGATTATTCTTTCCTACAATAAACATTACCTAGTATTCTATCATTAGACACAGCAAAAAAGTTACCATTGTGATCAATTATTTAGTTTTTCTAAAGGATTTCAAACAAAGTTTGATTGATTTGTAAACACTGAATTGGATATTAACAGGAATCTGGCAGACATGTAGATACTGTAGATCTTGTTTCACTACACCTGGCAGAAAATTGATATGGCTGAATTTTATTATTATGCCTAAGACTAATTAATTAGAACCGAGATTTCTGGTGTTACCTAGAACTATTTTTACATACACAAAGGAACATGCCTAGAGCGTAATTAGAAATCTCTTTATTATGACATTTTTGAGAAATATGAGGGATATGGAAATATAGAGTTAAATGCTTGTCCATTTCTTTTAAAGATTATTGATGTTTATTAAATATAAGACATCAATATCCAGATATGTATTCCTTGCTCTTTTGAGTGACTCAGTGCCCCTCTAAAAGTAGATACATGTAGATTTTGGAATTCAATTAGTAATACAGAGCAACAGACTCTCAGAATGGGAGACAAATTTCAAGGTTATCCAATAGCACTTGAGGCAGGAATTCTTTCTATAGGGTTCCAGTTGAGTGAAAGTCTGGTGTTTAGCTCTGACAGGACACATGCTACTTTATGAGGCACTGCATTCCATTGTGTATAGCCTTATGTCCATAATTTTTATTTTTGGCTTCCTAGAAAATATTACTAATTTCTACCAGCATTTTGATTTATGTGTATAGAAAAACCTCTTCTTGATCTGCTACAGTCTAGTGAAACTGTTAATCATGGTCCTTACCTCACCCTAAACGAAAGGTACCAACCTGACCCTGGGTAGTCCTGCAGTGAGTATTTTCCTCAAATTTGAATCGTGAGCACAGTGAAACAAATGTTTAGCATTGTTTCATTTCCAGCAATGGTGCCCTGACCAGACTATTTTCCCCCTGAGACTCAGCCTGTCTTTCCTGTTTTCTCATTCTCTGAATAAATCTGCCCTAGATTTTCTTGTTTCCAAAACTGATCCTTCAGCTTCCTGTCAATTCTGTCCATGTCAGTCAACTGGGGAGACTGTTAGAAAAGAAGATTCTTGGCCCTCATGTTGCTTAAAGTATTCAGTATTAGTAGTATAAGGTGAGGGTACAGAAGGTTAAATTTACAACACGCAGTGGGTCACGCTAAAGCAGTCAGAGTGTGGGCTGACTTTTGGGAACACTGTACAATGTATATTTGTACTTTAATAGAACATTTCTGAAAGTGGAAAAGTCTTCCTAACTGACTCACTAACTGAATATATTCCAGTTTTTTCATTTACTCAATAGTTCAACAAATAGATCTTGAGCATCTACCCTGCTACAGGCACCAGTGATGAGCCTTGGGATAAATAATATCATTAAGATTATTTGAGGCTGGGTGTACCAGCTTGCTTTTAGAGGGCACTGAGTCACTTAAAAGTGCAAGGAGTACATATCTGTATATTGATGTCTTATATTCAGTAAACATCACTAATAATCTTTAAAAGAAATGGACAAGCATTTATCTCTACATTTCCATATCCCTCATATTCCTCAAAAATGTCATAATAAAGAGATTTCTAATTATGCTCTAGGCATGTTCCTTTGTGTATGTAAAGATAGTTCTAGGTAACACCAGAAATCTCAGTTCTAATTAATTAGTCTTAGGCATAATAATAAAATTCAGCCATACCAATTTTCTGCCAGGTTTAATGAAACAAGGTTTTCTTCTTTTATTGTGCTACTCAATTGTCTCACAATTACATGCACAATGTACAATAAATATAACTGTGTAGGTGAACAGGATATGAAAATGTTCAGAAATTCATTCTTTCAACTAACAAAAATAACTCTAGTAAAATACTGTTAAATCACGTTCAAATTTTATGTTGTTTTGGTGATTAAGATTATAAATCAATGATCTTAAGTATATTTAAAAAACTTATATCTCTCTAAAATTGACCTCTAAATAAATTGACCTCTAAAATTTCTCAATTTAAGCTTAAATCATTGTAAAATATATCATTTACAGCAAATTGTAAATATTAACATAAAAGTTTTATCTTCTTTGAATATATTCATTTTGATTCCCATGAAAAATCAATGTTAAAATACTTAAAAAAATTCATCTGTAGCAGTCACAAATTTTTCATTTTTTCTTCTTCCTGAACATCTATTTCTATACCACTTTTTCAGTGAAATTTTTCCTAGTTTAATGCACTCTCTCTGCCTCAGTCTTGTAGTAATTACCCTTTCCCTGACATAAAATTATGGATATACATTGAAAGAGTAATTCAAATGTTTTGGTGATTTAGACTCCAGGTATTAAGATTTCTTCTGAATTCAATTTTCATTATTCATGTTAATATATAATTAATTAAACATAATGAATGATTTTTAGATAATAAACATGAAAAACTAAAATATATTAGTTGTATTCATGATTCTCATTATTGAGCTATTTCTTATTCAACAAATGTATATATCTGTGGCTGAATATTACTTGTTGCTAGAATGAGCCAAAGCTTGGCATCAATCTATTCTATTTTTGTTTTTATAGATACAAGATCTGAGAAAATGTATTCTCATAAATAAGTATATGGGAGTAGAAAGGGTTGTGTTTTAGCAGTGTCATTCAAATATTTGAACTCCTTCCAAGTTATATGCCAAAAATCACATAGTTATGTCTCATCAGAAATTATTTTAATGATGTACCAGCTGTCATCTCAATTAGGTCTTCTTTCAATTTCATTAAAGGCAAAGAATTGAAACTAATTCTAGGTTTTATTATTCAGTTATTAGGGTCATTTACTTTCTCAACACCAATACCAATATTTTGAATTGTCCTAGAACTCTGGAGATTTTACACTCAGGGTCAATATACCACAGTAAAATGGTAAAGACAAGCATGTCTCTTTTTGAAAGTGTGGCAAGGATAACAAGGATAAGAAAAACCAGTATAAATATTCTGACAGTCAAATTTTAGGAAAGTGTACATGTTAAGTTCAGGATGCAGAAATTATTTCCTTGAAATTATTCATGCCACCAAAGTATACGTATCCCAGTTTGAAATCTGCTGGTCTGATCTTGTCTCCTTTTTAAGATAGTTAATGGTTATTCAACATTATGTGATTGTAGATTTTTCGATATTGGAACAAAGAGACCTACAGCAGATTGTATATTTCAAAAGAGCAGCAGCAAGATCTCCTTTCCTACATGCTCTTTTTCTAGTGTGACATTGACACTCCTCTCATTGAGAAGGACACATTTTCCCTACTTTTGGACATTGAGAGGCTTATGAATATGGAGGAAGAGATGCTATGTGACTTCTGAGGCGATGTCATAAAGCTCTGCCTGGTTCACTTGGGAGGCTCACTTCTAGAACCCAATTGCCATGCTGTGTGGAAGTCAGACCACATGGAAAGGCCATGAATAGGTATTCTGGCTGACAGTTTCATTTGAGTTCCAAGACCACTGCCAGCATCCACTGCTAGACATGTGTGTGAGGAAGATTTGGGGATTACTCTGGCTTCAGCCACGGCAGTCATGTGGATACAACTGCATGAGAGACCTAGAACAAGAACCCCAGAAATAAGAGAGATAATAATAAAATGATTTAAGCCACTATGTTTTAGAATGATTAACTATGTAGCAATAGTAATCAAAACAGGACGTTAAGAGAATGCCTTAGTAATCAAAATAATTTGATATTCATACAATCCAGAATTTATAGTAGTTTTAACCGATTTGGTCTAAAATTAATCTTTTAATATGATGAAAATTGTGTGTGTATTAGTAATACATAAAGATAGCAAGAAATACATTAAACAGTTAATAAATTCATTAAAGAAAACATGACTAAACTTTCATGTTATGCTACAATTTATTGTTGATTAGGGTTCTATAAGTATATGAAATTTTCCAAAGTTCATATCTTTTATTTACTTTTCAAATTGTTAATTTTTATTCTTAAAGTAATATTTAATTTTAAAAGTACTATAACAATAAATAAATAAATAAATAGAAACAAATCCCTATCCCCTTCTGTTTCTCTGCAAACATTTATTTTCAATCCATTTTAGCTGTTTGTTCTGATATTTACCTTTCAATTTCTCTTACCATACTTCATTCCTAGTTCTATAGCTTTTTGCTTGTTTTTTCTTTTCAATTTTATTTATTAGTTCCCTTCCAAAGAAGATTACCTCTTGCACACTCCTTCTTCAACCCATTTTAATGCATACACTTAGTTTTTCTCCTCCTGTTCACTCACTGTAGTTATATCGTGTTTTATAAGGTGTTAGTACTCACAGTTTAAATTCACATTGAACTGTGATTATATATCTCCTCTTTTCCTTTTTACTACAGTTTTTATTACATCAATTGGTTTTTTTTTTTATCCAGGTCCCTATGACTATTTTAGCCCTGAGCTTTATCACAGAACTATAAAACAGGTTTCACTACAGTCCATGTTATTGAACACATAATTTCTAGGTTTTTATTCTTTCTTTCTCTTTTTTCTATTTTTAATTTTCTTTAGGACTGTCTTTTCTGTAGTCCACTGTCCTATGAAAATCTGGACTCATGGCTTTCTAGACCAAGTATCCTAGCTGACACTCTAGGTTGTCATTATCATTATTCTTTCTTTTTCATGTATCTTTTTACTCCCTGTATAGAATTCCCTGTGTGTGTGTGTGTGTGTGTGTGTGTGTGTGTGTGTGTGTGTGTGTTTACTTTTATGTATTCCTCTTTCTTGATCTGTTTCTCTGTTTTGAGGCGGCACATCTAGTATTTCTGACAAAGGCTGCATACAAGGTAAAAATTTTTGAAGATGTTGAAAAGTTTTTTTTTTATTATTGTACTTTAAGTTCTTGGGTACATGTGCAGAACTTGCAGATTTGTTACATAGGTATACATATGCCATGGTGGTTTGCTGCATCTATCACTCCGTCATCTATATCAGGTATTTCTCCTAATGCTATCCCTCTCCAAATCCCCACCCACTGCTGTCCCTCCCCTAGCTCCTCATCCACCAACAGGCCCTGGTGTGTGATGTTTCCCTACCTGTGTCCATGTGTTCTCATTGTTCAACACCTACTTATGAGAGAGAACATGCAGCGTTTGGTTTCTGTTCTTGTGTCAGTGTGCTGAGAATGATGGTTTCCAGCTTTAACCATGTCCTTGCAAAGGACATGAATGCATCCTTTTTAATGGCTGCATAGTATTCCATGGTGTATATGTGCCACATTTTCTTGATCCAGCCTATCATTGATGGGCATTTGCGTTGGTTCCAAGTCTCTGCTATTGTGAACACTGCCGCAATAAACATATGTGTGCATGTGTCTTTATAATAGAATGACTTATAATCCTTTGGGTATATACCCAGTAATGAGATTGCTGGGTCAAATGGTATTTCTATTTCTAGATCCTTGAAGAATCACCACACTGTCTTCCACAATGGTTGAACTAATTTACACCCCCACCAACAGTGTAAAAGTGTTCCTATTTGTCCACCTCTTCTCCAGCATCTGCTGTCTCCAGATTTTTTAACGATCGCCATTCTAACTGGTGTGATCTCAATGTGGTTTTGATTTGCATTTCTCTAATGACCAGTGATGATGAGCATTTTTTCATATGTTTATTGTCTGCATAAATGTCATCTTTTGAAAAGTGTCTGTTTATATCGTTCACCCACTTTTTGATGGGGTTGTTTATTTCTTGTTAATTTAAGTTCCTTGTAGATTCTGGATATTAGCCTTTCGTCAGATGGGTAGATTGCCAAAATTTTTTCCCATTCTGTTGGTTGCTGGTTCACTCTAATGATAGTTTCTTTTGCTGTGCAGAAGCTCTTAAGTTTAATTAGATCCCATTTTTCTATTTTGGCTTTTGTTGCCATTGCTTTTGGTGTTTTAGTCATGAAGTCCTTGCCCATGCCTAAGTCCTGAATGGTATTGCCTAGATTTTCTTCTAGGGTTTTTATGGTGTTAGGTCTTACATTTAAATTTTTAGTCCATCTGGAGTTAATTTTTTATAAGGTGTAAGGAAGGGATCCGGTTTCAACTTTCCGCATATGGCTAGCCACTTTTCCCAACATCACATATTAAATTGGGAAACCTTTCCTCATTGCTTGTTTTTGTCTGGTGTGTCAAAGATCAGATGGTTTTAAATGTGTGATCTTGCCTCTGAGGCCTCTGTTCTGTTCCGTTGGTCTATATCTCTGTTTTGGTACCAGTGCCATGCTGTTTTGATTACTGTAGGCTTATAGTATAGTTTGAAATCAGGTAGCCTGTTGCCTCCAGCTTTGTTCCTTTTGCTTAGTATTGTCTTGGCTATGTGGGCTCTTTTTTGGATCCATATGAAGTTCAAGGTAGTTTTTTTCCAATTCTGTGAAGAAAGTCAGTGGTAGCTTTGTGGGGATAGCACTGAATCTATAAATTACTTTGGGCAGTATGGCCATTTTCATAATATTGATTTTTCCTAACCATGAGCATGGAATGTTTTTTCATCCGTTTTTGTCCTCTTTTATTTCCTTGAGCAGTGGTTTGTAGTTCTCCTTGAAGAGGTCCTTCATATCCATTGTTAGTTGTATTCCTAGGTATTTTATTCTCTTTGTAGCAATTGTGAATGGGAGTTCACTCATGGTTTGGCTCTCTGTTTGTCTGTTATTGGTGTATAAGAATGCCAATTGATTTTGTATCCTGAGACTTTGCTAAAGTTGCTTGTCAGCTTAAGGAGATTTGTGGCTGAGACAATAGGGTCTTCTAAATATACAATCATGTTGTCTGCTAATATAGACAATTTGACTTCCTCCTTTCCTAATTGAATGCCCTTTATTTCTTTTTCTTTCCTGATTGCCCTGGCCAGAATTTCCAATACTATGTTGAATAGGAGTGGTAAGAGAGGGCATGCTTGTCTTGTGCCAGTTTCTCAAAATGAATGCTTCCAGTTTTTGCCCTTTCAGTATGATATTAGCTGTGGGTTTGTTATAAATATTTCTTATTATTTTGAGATGCATTTCATCGATACCTGGTTTATTGAGAGTTTTTAGCATAAAGGGCTACTGAATTTTGTCGAAGGCCTTCTCTGCATCTATTGAGATAATTATGTGGTTTTTGTCTTTGGTTCTGTTTATGTGATGGATTACGTTTATAGATTTGCATATGTTGAACCAGACTTGCATCCCAGGAATGAAGCTGACTTGATGGTAATGGATAAGCTCTTTGATGTGCCATTGGATTCAGTTTGCCAGTATTTTATTGAGGATTTTTGTACCAATGTTCATCATGGATATTGGCCTGAAACTTTCTTTTGTATTTGTGTCTCTGCCAGGTTTTGGTGTCAGGATGATGTTGGTCTCATAAAATGAGTTAAGGAGGATTCCCTCTTTTCTATTGTTTAGAACAGTTTCAGAAGGAATGGTACCAGCTCCTCTTTGTATCTCTGGTAGAATTTGGCTGTGAACCTGTCTGAACCTGGACTTTTTTTGCTTGGTAGGCTATTAATTGCTGCCTCGATTTCAGACCTTGTTAGTGGTCTCTTCAGGGATTCAACTTCTTCCTGGTTTAGTCTTGGGAGGGTATAAATGTCCAGGAATTTATCCATTTCCTCCAGATTTACTGGTTTATTTGCATAGAAGTGTTTGTAGTAATCTCTTGGTAGCTTGTATTTCTGTGGGATCAGCGGTGATGTCCCTTTTATCATTTTTTATTGCATCTATTTGATTCTTTTCTCTTTTCTATTAGTCTGGCTAGCAGCCTATCTACTTTGTTGATCTTTTCAAAAAAACAGCTGCTGGAATATTGATTTTTTGAAGGTTTTTTTGTGTCTCTATCTCCTTTAGTTCTTCTCTGATCTTAGTTATTTCTTGTCTTCTGCTAGCTTTTGAATTTGTTTGGTCTTGCTCCTCTAGCTCTTTTAAACATGGCATTAGGGTGTCGATTTTAGATCTTTCCTCGCTTCTCTTGTGGGCACTTTGTGCTATAAATTTCTCTTGACACACTGCTCTAAATGTATCCCAGAGATTCTGATATGTCGTGTCTTCATTCTCGTTGGTTTTGAAGAACATTTTTATTCCTGCCTTCATTTAATTATTTATCTAGTAGTCATTCAGGAGCAGGTTGTTCAGTTTCCATGTAGTTGTGTGGTTTTGAGTGAGTTTCTTAATCCTGAGTTTTAATTTGATTGCACTGTGGTCTGAGAGACTGTTGTGATTTCCATTCTTTTGCATTTGCTGAGGAGTGTTTTACTTACAATTATGTGGTCAATTTTAGAATAAGTGCCATGTGGTGCTGAGAAGAATGTATATTCTGTGGATTTGGGGTGGAGAGTTCTGTAGATGTCTATTAGGTCTGCTTGGTCCATATCCGAGTTCAAGCCTTGGTTATCCTTGTTAATTTTCTGTCTCATTCATCTGTCCAATATTCACAGTGGGCTGTTAAAGTCTTTTTTGTGTGGGAGTCTAAGTCTTTTTGTAGATCATTAAGAACTTGCTTTATGTATCTGGGTGCCCCTGTATTGAGTGCATATATTTGGGATAGTTAGCTCTTCTTGCTGCATTGATTCCTTTTACCATTATGTAATGCCCTTCTTTGTCTCTTTTGACCTTTGTTGGTTTAAAGTCTGTTTCATCA